CAGGGGTGCAGTACAGCTGAGCCAAGGTCTTGCTAAGGGAAGGGCCCAGATTTCTGTAGGAAAAACAAGGAGAACAAGACGGTTGCAAAAGGTGATTTCCCAGAATAATTCAATTCAAGTATTCATTAATCCGTCCAATTTACAGGGCGCAATTCTCCTTAACGATCCCCCCATCGGCTGACGGCTAGTCCTTGATTTATAACCACAGTGGAGTTGATGCATCGTGGTCGTAAGTCAGGATGGTTGCACAAGGGGTCGGACACATACGCGGCCCGATAATAGAATAGAATAGAATAGAATAGAATAACAGAGTTGGAAGGGACCTTGGAGGTCTTCTAGCCAACCCCCTGCTCGGGCAGGGCATTTTATGAATTGTTTTTTTTGCAGCGGTCGTTAAGTGGGGCGGTCGTTAAGCAAACCATGTTCATGATTTGGCTGGAAACCAGAAGTCCCATGATCAACACTTGGAAACTGGCATGTCCTCGTGACAGTTGAAACCTCCAGTTATTTATTACACAATTGCCACCTTCCTCGCCAGGTTCTGACAATCAAAGCCAATGGGGGAAACTGGATTCTCTTAATAGCAACTGCAGTGATTCGCTTAACAACCAGGGCAAAAAAACAAGTCGTAAAAATCAGGCACGGCTCACTTAATGTGCCCCTTGCTTAGTTCAGGTAGTCCTCGCCTTAACAACGGTTTGTTTAGCGACCGTTTGAATTTACAACAGCACTGAAAAAAATGGAATTTGTTAGGACCATTTTTCACCCTTAATGACCATTGTGGTGTCCCTGCAGTCAGGTGATCAAAATCCGGGCGCTCGGCCACCTCGGTCTCACATTTATGACGGTGTCAGCTTCCCGGGGTCATGTGATTCCCCTTTGGTGGCCTTCTGGCAGTCAGGGGGGGGCAGATTCACTTAACAACGGTGTCCCTAACTTGACAACCGCAGTGGTTCATTTAACGACCGTGGCAAGAAAGGTGGTGAAATGGAGCAAAACTCCCTTAACATAAATTTGTCACAGAAGCAACAAATCTGTGGTCGTAAGTCAAGGACCACCCATATTTAGGGGCGGGGGCTGAGGGAGCTTGTGTAAAGAGGGGGAGGGGGAGAAGAGAGGAAAGACCACCAGCTCCAGTCCTCACCTCTGCAGCTGGCCACACTTGATGGTACTTAGAAGATGCTCTTGGGTTTCTGCATCTGGACACGCAGCGTAAGCCCCCATCAGGCTGAGAAGGAAGAAGAACACCAGGGGAAGTCATCAGCCCCCAACCGCTGAAAAATCCCTCCACGTTTCATCATACATGTGAATCTTTCTCTTCACCATGTAGGATGCGGCTTTAAACTAGGTTACATCATGGTCTGTTCCGCCGGCAACCAGCCTCTAAGGCAGGGATTGGCCATGTGCGGCTCTGGAGCCGCGTGGGGCTCTTCATTCCTCTGCAGCAGCTCCCTGCCACCAGTCGGCGCCACAATTTTGAGAGGAGCTTCCGGTTTGGGTGGGGGGGCGGAAGAAGCAGGACACGCCAGGAGGAGGGACTATGGCAAGTTTTACAGTCAGCTCCACAATTGATAGGACTTTCGGTTAGGACAGGTAGAGGAAAAAGGACGCTGCGCTAGGAGGAGACTCTATGGTGGGGAAACCGGACTTCTGGTTGGCTCCAAAATTGAACAGGGGAGTGGGGTGGGGGTTCGTGTCCCTCAACCTGGGCAGCTTGAAGATTTCTATAGTGATCTCCACAACGTCTTCGTTTGACAAGCCCATAATCCCTTGCATCAGTTTGGAGTCTGGGCCCCTGAATGCAGCTTGGAGAGTGTTTTACTGGCCGGATGCCCATCCTGTTGCCAATGAGGAGTTATATTCAGCAGATTATATCCTCTTTGCGCCCAGGGAGAGAAATATTTGCCTCTAGCTAGGACCGAACTCACAGCCTCCTGATTGTGAGGCGAGAGCACCACCTCTAGGCCACCACACCATCCAGAATAAATAAAGGAATAATACAGAACGTTATCGCTCATACCATATCCTGCTTATGTTATATTATTCTATTATTCCTTCCCTGGAATGAATAAAACAATAGAACACAAAAATATACAATGGAACTACCATTCTAAGGGAGAAGTTGGTTAAACTAACACAATGGTGACATCCAGACGTATTTAGTTAGTGTTGAAGTGTTAAATTAGTTAGCCAGGTTTATACCGTATTGAGGGTTGCGGATTAAGTCACCTTGAANCTGGCTGGGGCATTCTGGGAGTTGAAGCCCACCCCTCTTAAAGCATGCTGGCTGGGGCATTCTGGGAGTTGAAGTCCATGCATCTCAATCAACCATTCACCCTTGTTCGAAGGGCCCGTGGGAGGCCATTCTATTCACCTCCCATTATTCTGACTCGCTTTTGCGTCCCTTCGGTGAAAGAGGCCCACCTGTCGATTGGGGGCACCTTCCCTGCCAGGTGTGGCATTTTCTACAGCTCACCTGCGTGGCGCAGATCACAGGTTTGCCTGCCCGGTTACAACGGCCGATCATCATCTTTTGAGCCAGGAAAACCTTCTCGGCGGGAATTTCGATCCCCAGATCCCCGCGAGCCACCATGATGCCGTCGCTGGCTTCCAGGATCTCATCAAACCTAGAGACAAAGATTCTCCATCTACGACTGTTCATTTAGTGACCAAAGTTATAACTGCACTGGGGGGGGGTTGAAAGTGACTCCTGAGGTGGCCCTCGCAGTTACGACCGCCGCCGTATTCCCCACGGGGGAATTTGCGGTCCAAATTTGGGTGCTGGGCAACCTGCATTTACGACGGGTGCAGAGTTCAGAGCGAGCAAAATTAAATTGGGGGAAATTGGATTCACTTAACGCCATGATTCACTTAGTAACTGCAGTTAATCTGCTTAACGACCAGGCCAAAACAGGTCATATAATCGGGGATCGTTCTTTTAACAACCGCTTAGCCACAGAAATCCAGGTCTTAAACGTGGGCCATAAGTCAAGGACTCTAATCTTTGATCTGATTTGGGTTGTCTTCCCTGCAAGGAGAAATCTAGCTCTTCTAGAAATAAACCAGACTTTAAGGCTTTTAACTAGTCCTGTCTAGTTCGACCTTTTAAAGGCTGGCTGGGTCAACATACAAACAGCCTTCGGCTTAGGACCACAACTGAGCCCCAAATTTCCGTCACTAAGCGAGGCGCCAGTGAAATGAATTTTACCCCCATCCCCGCCCACCGTTGCTCCTGAGTCAATCGCTGCAGTCGTTACACGGCCGTTAAGTGAGCCCAGCTTCCCCCTTGACGTCGCTGGACGGGCGGTCGCAAAAGGGGACCGTCGTAAATAGGAGCGCGTGGCCCAAGCGTCTGAGTTTTGATCACGTGACTGCAGGCGTGTGGTGGGGGGCGGTAAGCGCGGAGAAACGACAGCAAGTCACTTTTTAAAGCCCCGTTGTGGCTTCGAATGGTCATTAAGTGAACCGTCGTAAGCCGAGGACGGCCGGAACAAAAAAAAGAGAAGCTTTTGAGGGTTACCTTTTGACGCCCTCGTGGCTTTCGACCTTGCTGATGATTTTGATGTGACGGCCGCGTTCCCCCAGCGCCTGTCGGATGGCAATCACATCCTCGGCCTTTCGGATAAAGGAGGCGAAGATCATATCCACCCCTTGTTGCACCCCAAATTCCAGGTCGTGCCTGTCGCGCTGGGACAAGGCCGGCAAGTCCACTTTAGCCCCCGGCAGGTTGACTCCCTTCCGGCTACAGAGCGTCCCGCCGTTCTCCACCTCGACCACACAACTGCCGGGACCTAGTGGTTAGCGCAGAAACAAGGGGTTGGTGGTGAGGAGAGGGAACGGAAGAGAGAGAATCCCCGATTTCAACGGGTTGGGGAATTGTGGGAATTAAAGTCCATCTATCTTAATTCAAGCTGGCTGGGGGATTCTGGGAGTTGAAGTCCACCCATCTTAAAGCATGCTGGCTGGGGGATTCTGGGAGTTGAAGTCCTCCCCTCTTAAAGCATGCAGACTGGGGAATTCTGGGAGTTGAAGTCCTCCCCTCTTAAAGCATCCTGGCTGGGGGATTCTGGGAGTTGAAGCCCACCCATCTTAAAGCATGCAGACTGGGGGATTCTGGGAGTTGAAGCCCACCCATCTTAAAGGATACTGGCTGGGGGATTCTGGGAGTTGAAGCCCACCCATCTTAAAGCATGCAGACTGGGGGATTCTGGGAGTTGAAGCCCACCCATCTTAAAGCATGCAGACTGGGGGATTCTGGGAGTTGAAGCCCACCCATCTTAAACCATGCAGACTGGGGGATTCTGGGAGTTGAAGTCCTCCCCTCTTAAAGCATCCTGACTGGGGGATTCTGGGAGTGGAAGCCCACCCATCTTAAAGTTGCCAAGATTGAGAAGCCCTGATATAAAGAAAGAGATCCACGCTACCCGTTGGAAAACACTCACGGCGTTCTTTGACCAACAAGGAGATCTGCCCATCATCAATAAAGATCCTTCCGCCAACGCTCACGACTTTGGGCAAGTTGGCGTAATCCACCCAAATCGTCTGCGAATCGCATTGTTCCCGGAAGGCTGGATCGGTGGTCACAATCAGGCGGGATCCTTTCGCCAGTTCAACTTCTTTGTTCTCGCCCTGTGGAAAAAAAGATCGCGAAACAGAAACTAAGAATTGGCGTCGTTGAACGAAACCAATCGGGACCGGGGAGGGGGGTGGGGGGGGAAGGAAGTTTTGGATTGATCCCTCAATCTTACCCCTTTGATCAACCCTGTCCGGATTTCGGGGCCTTTGGTGTCCAGAGCGATGGCCACGGGCCGGTAGAAGAGAGGATTCGTGTCAAAGCTTTTCGTGGCTTCCCGGATATTTTCGATGGATTTGGCGTGGTACTAAAATGAAATGAATTGGAATTGAATTCAAACCTTCCTTTCTTTTCCTTCCTTCCCAATTTCTTCCTTCCTCTCGTTCTTCCTCCCCCTTTTCGTTGTTCCTTCCTCTCTCCTTCCCTTCTAATCCTTCCCTTTACTTCCTCCCCCCAATTTGTTCCTTTCTTCTTTCCTTCCTTCTCTCCGGTCCTCTCTCCTCCTGCCATTCTAATCTTTCTTTTTTCCTTCCTTCCTCTCCTCCGATTTGTCTCTTCCTTCTGCTGTCCTTCCTTCCCCTTTTCATTGTTCCTTCCTTTTTCTTTCCCTTCTAATCTTACTCTTTTTTCTTTCTTTCCTTCCTTCCATCCTTCCTTCCCTCATTCCTACCTTCCCTTTTAATTCCTCCCTTTCCTTCCGTCTTTTCCTTTCCTTCTTCCTTTCCCTTTCTTTCTCTTTTTCTCTTTCTCTTCCTTTGTTTTTTATCGCCATTCCTCCCTCACCTTCCTTCCTTCTGCACGCCTTTGTATATCTATTCTTTCCTTCCTTCCTTCTTTTCCTTCCCTTACTTCTTTCTCTTTCTTTCTCTTCTTCTCTTTCTCTTTCTTTTCCTTTCTTTCTTATCCCCATTCCTCCCTCACATTCCTTCCTTTCTTCTGCATACCTTTGTATATCTATTCTTTCCTTCCTTTTCCTTTCCTTCCTTCTTTCCCTTTCTTTCCCTTTTTCTCTTTCTCTTCATTTCTTTTTTTATCTCCATTCCTCCCTCACCTTCCTTCCTTCTCAATATCTTTGTATATCTATTCCTCCCTCCCTCCTTCTCTCCTTGATACCTCGTGCGATCCGTGCGAGAAATTCAACCGTGCGATATTCATGCCGGCTTTGATCATTTCACGTAACATCTCCACCTTCTGTGATGCTGGGCCTACAAAGGAGGGTGAAGAGATAAAATTGCTTTCTGGAAGCCTCCTTGGGGGGGGTGGGGGGGCTGCAAGACAGGACCCTCAAAAGTACAGGGTCCCCTGCCATCTTCCAGAACAGGAGTCCCCAACCTTTCGGACTTCAGTAGGCCACTAAATTCATAATTTTACATCTCGAGGACCACTAATATGATCTGCCTAAGGACCAGTTGGATGGGCGTGGCTAGGTGGTCATGTGACTGGGTGGGCGTGGCCAACTCAATGTCACTCACGTCAAGGGGCGCCTCGCCAGCCTCTACTCGCCCCTCCCCTCCCAGCCCCTCCTCGCCTGCCCGCCTGGGCTCCTTAGGGCCCCAACAGGAAGCCGTTGCTGGAGCTAAGCAGCCCCCAGGAGAAAGAGTTGGCAAAACAGCTCGGTTCAAATTGGATCGGACTGAGAAGGAGGCTCAGCAGAAGCACCTCACTGAGGACTAGGAGCATAGGCTTCCCAAGCAGAGGGAAGACCTTGCGGAAGTGCAAGGCCAAGTACCGGTGCCTGGAGGCTCAGTGGGCTGAGATNCTTTCATGCCTAAGGCAGCACTAGAACTCCCAGTCTCCTTGTGACTTGTCCCTAAGTCACCCAACCGACTTTCATGCCTAAGGCAGGACTAGAACTCTCAGTCTCCTAGTGATTGGCTCAAAGTCACCCAGCTGGCTTTCGTGCAGTGGTCATTTCTCTTGTTCCAATGACAAAACTTTTAAGCTTCGATTAGTGACGTTCTGGGTGTCTCTTTTTCCCCCAGTCTGAGGAAGAATCCTGCTGAACGAATGAGCTACTTAGAGATGATGGTGAGTTGATCTTCCTCCTTACGGCCCAGTTTTAATCTGTTTTATTCAGATTCCAGCAGGTGAGTGCGAGGCAACCTTGGTGCCGCCTCCTCCTCCTCCAGCTCTCCTCCTCTCCTTCTCCTCCTTCCCCTCCTCCTCCTCCCCCTCCTCTTCCTCCTCACTCCCACACCTACACCTCCCCTTATTGTCCTCTTTCTCCAACAGGATCATCCCTTCTTCACTCTCCACGACACCAAAGTGACCGAGATGGCTTCTTTCGTCACGGAAATCCTCGGGGAAGACTCTTAAAATTTCTCCCCCACCGTCTCTCCCTCCCTCCCCTCCCCTCCCCACTCCCGACCTCGCCCATCGTGCCAAATAAACTGGAGTAGCATCGCCTTCCTTTCTCCCGGCGGGAAGAACTGAGGCAGTTTGGAAAATTTCTTCGCGTTACCGGCGGTTTGCACAAAACAGATCGAATGTCTTTCGTCGGCCACGTCGCTCAGCCCCCCATTGAACCTCCTCTTCCACGTCTTCAAAAGAGAGAGAGAGAGGGGTGGGTGTGGCGGCTGGGGTAGCCCCCCCCACTTGTCTGCGCGAAGAAATCTTAATTTCGGAGCGCCGTTCGCGGGGACCTGACGTCGGTCCATGAAAACACTTCACTGCCCTTCCTAGCTGCCGAGGTTGAATTTTCGCGTGTTCCCCGTAGTAAATCTCCCCCCCACCCCTTCCTCAAAAAACAACAACACCCCTCTGCAACCGTGGACATTCAGAATTTTTCTAGACAATGCAAAACTTTCCATCCCCCATCAAGAGATACCCACGGATGACGCTGCTAAGAAGAAGATTTATGTCGGCTTTTGAACGCTTTGCAATTTCCTCTCCCCTCCCCCCCCAAATTTTTTTTGTCTGTAGAAAACCGAGAAGGTTTTAGTAGTTTCTGGAAGTAGGTGTTCTGTCTTTTTTGCGATTCTCTTTCTCTTTTTTTCAAAACTCTGCAGTTTTTAAAGTTTTCCCTCGATTTTAGCAAAATTTAAGATGGCGGAGGATTTTCAATGCCCAGAGTTCTTCAAAAGCACGCTGCTGGCCTGGGTGGGGGGAGTTCTGGGAGATGAAGTCCACAGATTATAATGCTAAAAAGCTATTCTGGAGGAAAAAAATTCCCATTTCCCTCCCCTTCCCTCCAAAAAAAAACCCCCCTTCTGGAAAGATTTTACAGCCCAATTTTATGGCTCCTGTCGCTGGATTACAAAGTTCCTACCCACCCTCATTTTGTCGCCTCTTTCCAATGTTTCCCGCAACAAAATTCGTATACGACGATGACATTTGCTGCTTTCGGTTTTGGCAACCCCGAAGATCACACGTCTTTTCAAAACTCCCTTGTGCTTTTTCAACATTCAGATGTTTTGATGTACGTTTTCACCTTTTAAAAGAAGCCCCTAACCCCAAAACGTTCAGCTATTGTGCGGGGGTCTCGTCTCTGGATACATCGCTGGAGGTAGAAAATGTTAATTAAAAAATGATGTAGCCCCCCCCCCCTCTCCCCATTGGGTTTCAAGAGATGGATTTAGGTGGCGTGCTTGAACTGCAATGAAATTGGGAAGAATTGTTGATGCGGGGAGTTGATTCCTCAAATCTCGTCCTTTGCTGGACTGTTGGAAGTAGGAAGTTCACCTAGAAGTTGAAGGATCTACCTTACCTTAAGTTCAGATTCCCCACCACTCCTTAGCTGCAAGACGGGTCCATCAGAAGCTCACCTCCCTGTCCACCGGCCCTCCACGAAATCTAGGTTCTACACACTTTTGTTCTTCAAAAGTTTAGCCTGCTGTGTGAACTCAACGGTGAATGAATTGTCCATGGTTACCTTCACCAAGTCCAAGCTTTCAACCATCACATTGAAGCTGATGAGATTCTGACCCAAGATCTATCCATCATGGTTTAGGAGCTACAAGACCTGGATTCACACCCGTGCACCGCAACTTGGCTTGTGCGTGGAGTTGGCCATGCAAGAAGCATGGTGATTGATGGCTTTTTCTGCCTGATGGAGAACATCTGGATTGATGTGCTTCTTGCACCGAGCCCATTTCTGTTGGATAATCTATATTTTTTCTTCTGCAGGGGATAAAAAAAACAAACCCCTAGGAACATTGGTGTGTGAATGATTCTTAAAAGAGGGAACCAAATGAAATATTTTTTCCTCACCTCCGAAGATCTCTAAACAATGTAGAGAATTCTTCCATTTTGATAGATTTGCTTGTAGGAAAATGTTCTCTTCCCTACCGCTACCCAAAAGCAAATATTACCAGTGGCTTAATTCACACTTTTTGTTTTACGATAAATTCTTTCCCATCCTCTCCTAGCCCCCCCACAAAATGAAATTATCTTTAAGTGTGTGTACATGTTTGTGTAAAGGACGAATAGATGCAGAAGAGGCTTGGAGGAAGCACCAGCATGTGCAATGTGCAGGAGAATGTTAAAACGCAGAATCAAAAGAAAAAGGGGGAAGTCCATTTTAAGGACATTGGAAAGGGTTGCATTATGTCAGAAGTGTATGAATCAGATGCTGAACAACATTTATTTTATTCATCCGGTCTGAAGAAATAGCCTTAGTCATCTCAAGCTACGACTCGATCTCCACTCATAGCCATTTTCACTGGAGGTTGAATGCGTTGCTAGTCCCTGTTGGTCCCTTAAACTATCTCAGCCTTGGGGGATGTAAGGGATGGGACTTGATCCCTCCTTCTGCAAAGATGATTTTAAGAATAAGTTTCCCAAATTTCGTCAGCTTTGAAAGAGGCTGGTGATCTGTCACCCCAATACTAACCAAACCGAAATAATATAATGTTTTCCAGGTCCAGCTGTCGGTCAGTTGCCTGCTTCTAAGGGTTTTTTAAAAAGTCTAGGCCCGTGATTAAAGCGGAATTAAAAATAATAAATGGCAGGTCGTAAATGATTCGGGAAAACTATTCCGTCCATTCCCTTTGTAACTTACATTTTCCGCTTTGGGTTTTGACTTCCATCCTCTGTGATTTGAGGAAGGAAGGTTTCCAGGCTTGGTCAGAGACCCAATATGACCCTTCTCCAAAAGCCCCCTCCTCTGTATTTCCATTGCTTGAACCGATGAATGTCGCGGCAGCTTCCAAAATTGAGATACGCCCGTGATATTTTTACAACCTGTTCTTGTCCTGGTTTGTGCGCCCCCCCTCTTTTTTTTTTTTTTAAATGTGGGACACGGTGTCTTCAGTGGCTAAGACACTGATCTTGTCGATGCAAGTCGGCGGTTCGAACCCTTATCCCCACATAATGGAGCGAGCTCCCGTGACTTGTCCCAGCTTCTGCCAACCTAGCAGTTCGAAAGCACGTAAAAATGCAAGTAGAAAAATAGGATCCACCTTTGGTGGGAAGGTAACGGCGTTCCGTGCGCCTTCGGCATTGAGTCATGCTGGCCAGATGACCACGGAGATGTCTTCG